AAAGCTCTTATTAATACATTAATTCTTATGATAAACTTATCAGTGAAACATGACAGTAACAAACGAAAACCGATATGAATAACATTATCGAAAAATTTTATTTTAAACATATATAGTATCAAAATATACTACGTGCTATCTGTACATAACGTAGAGTCTATACAGTCACATCTACATAAGACTGTAATATAAAATGTATTCGTAGCATGAAAATATAGACTATATTTAATTTCATAATTCATAACACCGCACACAAAGTCAATATCGAAGAGTTACATACTGAATTATTATAAAGATTAGAGACCAACAATGATTTTGTAAAAATTTGCATGACTGTTAAAATTTAGGTAATAGTTCATGATATAATATTAATTTTATGATTTATTAACGCTACGAATTAATTCCAACACCTAATATATATATACACATATATATATAAACACACTTAAGATTTGATAAATAATTAATATTTGATTTTTATTTATTGATTATTCATGCTGTAGTGGTAATTAAAAAAATGTAGTTTTCTTTTGGCATAATATTATTAAATTATTATGTCGTAAATATGCATTCTACATATTAATCATGAATTTAATACTGCAGTAAATTCAATTATTCAGATATTTATGTTTGCTTATGTCGACGATTGGAAATTAAATTCACATCAATAATACCGATATGAAATTTTTATCAATATATTTTTATAGATATTTTTTCAATTACATCTCCCCCGCAGTCCGCTTGATAGTCACGATAATTTTATCAAGTAATAAACAACAAGCGAAAATCCATAACCGATTGTCAATAACATGATGACAATCGTATACCGACGATCATACACTGCGAAATTATCACTCAACAAGCAGCCTTCACGGCGCTCGCAACTCGCGCAACACTCGCGGCTGCGTTCAGGTCGTTCAGGATTGAAGGCAACTTCAAGCTTCAAGTAGTAGCCATACTAGTCATCGCGCAGCAAATGTGACTCGTAACATTTTCGATTCAGTGCCAGTACACGTCTTTTTCAATTCCCATCGATCGAGAGTCGCCGTTCTCTACGCGATTCCGCGATTACGATCATTAGAGGAAACTCTACTCGTCGACGGCGCCGGAGGGCAACCAGGAACGACAACGTAGAAGTCACCAGAAGGCCGGCTCTGTCCTTATCTCCTCACTCTCTCCTTTTCTCGCGCAAGCGAGCCATCTCACAAATTCAACCTCGTCGATAACGGCAGCGAGGAACCTTCACATATCGTGACACGTATCGGGTTGCTCCCGGGTAGGAAGGGCGATCCATCTGTCTCGAATCTCGGCTCCCCCGAGCGGAGGATTTTCACGCTAGAAAGCGGCCGTCCAACAGGGCGATACCATCTTATATGACTTTACTTCGACAACGAGGTAAGTTTCTCCTCGCCTCTCACAACTCCTTCGAATTTTAACGGTCCAAGAGATTTACCGACTCGACGACGACGGTCCAATCGATATCGATTTAGTCTCAATCGCGTCGATTAAATTGCCAATTATTTTTTTTTTCTTCTGATGTATCATAACCTCTCTGCGCCCATGTTGCTCGTGCTCGCTCGCTCTCTAATTTTAGCGACCAGCCATTTTGGACACACGGCACGATGGGGCGTGCGTGCGTGCGTGCGTGCAAACACGAGCGAGCTGTGCTAGGACCCCTCGCTCTTCTGCGGAAATGAGCGTTTCCCTCTCTTTCTCTCTCTTACCGTTTGCATTGGACGACGTAACGATGACGACTCGCGTGCGTGCCACACTGACGAGAGAAAACGATCCTTCTCGAAGCCGGTCCTGAGATTCTGTAACGTGAGAGTCTCGCCATGAGCGATTTTGTCAAAACAAGAATAAGAAAGAAGAGTATATGTACTGTGTCTTTTTATGTATACTGTCTTATTCTAACTTATATATTCTTCAAAATTTATATGCCCATTTTTTTCCACCAATGTAGATCAACTTTAATCCTAGTTTATTTTTATCTTTTTCTAGTTTTAAGAATAGGAAAAAGATGAAGAGTAAGTTGAAATTAAAGTTAATCTACGTTGGTAGAAACAAGTATTAGAACGAATCTTACTCTGAATCTCACTGTTGAAGATTTTTATTCAAGACTCAATTTTTAATTTTTAGAGAGATTCCATTTCATAAAGAATTTAGAGAGTATCTTACTCATTCCAATTTATTGAAGTTAACAAAAACGATGAAACCAATCAAGTTGTTATCTCAAAGCCAGACTTTGTTATAGAATCTCTGACTCAATATTGTTCAATATTGAATTCTTTAATCTACGTTTTTCCTGTTATTTTCAGCTAATATATTACTACTAGACCTGATGCAAAAATAAGTTGCTTAATTGAAACGCATGTGTGCTTTCTATGAAAAATTCCATAGAAAAAACACAAAAATGGAAAATACAGAATAAAAAAAGCCTTTTCAGATCTAGATTCTTCGATAGAAAGAAGAGAGAAAGGAACGAATGCAATTAAACAAATCGATCTCTTTATTCATTTTATGTCCATAGGTTTAGTTCCTTTTAGCTGAACTTTCTGCACAGTTCATCTTTTTTTCGTATCTCTTCAATATGAAAAGAAAAAGAGGATAGAATCGTGCAAGAAATTTAGCTAAAAAAGAACAGGTCTAATTTCTACCAATAGGTTTTTTTTATTATTGAACTAAGGTATATTCTTTATAAATAATTATTGAAATAGATAGATGTTTGAAATTTGGCGCAAATGCAGTCTAATGCAATAAAAAAAAAACCTGTAGATTCACTTTAATTTCAGTTTAACTTATTTTTTCTATTTTTCTAATTTTAACATTAGAAAAAGGTAAAGATTAAATTAAATGAATTTAAAATTAATTTGGTAGAAATAGCCGTTGAACATATGTATTTTCACTTCAAGTAATTCGTTTTGTAATTTGGTAGCTCCTGTACTCTCTGCATCGAGAATAGGACG